GAAACAAAAAAAAAAGAATTCAAAATCTACTTTATTTGGAGCTTTTTTCTTCTCTCTTCCACCAATGGTCTCTCTTCCTCCATCAATCGTTGTTGTTGATGAGTTGGGACGTGGGATGGTGGGAGGAGTTCACCGCTTGGCAGCTGCCGCTGAGAGAGAAACAATTGGGAACAGCTCATTCTTCACTCGAGCATGTACAAGTGTTTAATTAACCGTACCATCTATAAGTCATAAGTAAACATACTCTTTATGCACGAAATGCAATTTAAATGCGAGTGACAGCCAATTCTTCATTGCCGTGAAATTTTGCAGAAGCAAGTAGCAACCCAACCTTTCTTCTGCGGTAGATGTTCCCTTGTTTCTTTAATTGATGTAGAATTAAACTAACTGAAACTGAAAGTTGACTCTTCCAAAATTAATGGCTTAATGATCATATGACTGCTTTGTATCGTACCTTGGGTTAGTTAAGAAGTTTCAACTAGTTTCTAGGTGTTTCTAATTTTATATGAACCTGGGCTGTCGCAACCGCCCCATCACGATCGGGGGATCCGTCACGAATTGCTCGGAGTCGCCACCGATCTTACTTGGAGTGGATCGAACACCTTTTGGTCCGGTTCCAACCTTAGGGTCAGAACCAGAATTTGGTCTGCAAAATTTAGGTTTATGGGTTCGGGAGTACGATTACGTGTGGGGAAGTGTATTCACACCCCACAACGTCCCAAATGGGTACTACTTAAATCGATAAGTTTTTAAGGGTGGGGTGTAATATTAATTGGAATTTGTTTGTGTATTTAAGCGTGATATTCGATTATTTTAATTATTTTGAATGTAAATGTTTAGAGTCAGATTAGCGTAAATTTTGAATTTAAAGTTACAGATCTTTCACGTCTATTGACGTAAAAAATAGTTTTTAGATTGGTTGGACTCGAACCTATTGGTTGCCTACGTATCCGAGTTAATCGGCATCAAAGTCCACGTAGTTCGATTATTTTGAACGATTTAACAAAAGAGACCTTAACACGTTTTATTGACACATGATTAAGATAATGATTTGAGTTGTTATGAAATGCATTTTGGTAATTGAGTGGTTAACAATTTTGACATAATTTCGTCATAAATTAATATATTAAGGTATTTTTGCTATAATTTCGTATTAATAAACTCTGACGCGCAACAAAAATAAGGAGTAAATGTTTAGAAGTGATGAGATTAATTCTGAGTTAAACTAAATTAAGAAATTTAACATGCGTTTAGTAGTTAAGAGCTTTGTGTGTTAAGCTTAGTTTAGAAAATAATTAACTGGAAGGATTCTCTTCACAAGTAATGGACAAAACAATGGTTAATTGTTTTGGCCGAGAATGAGTTAAAATCTCCCCATTAGCACCTATTGGCCGCAAAATCTCTTCTTCTTTCTTTCATAAACGAAAACTAAACAGCGAGAAAGAGAGAAGGCAACCAACCCAAAAACCTCTTACCTTTTCCTCCTCTGTTCGACGGAAAACGAACCAGAAGAAAGAAGAAGAGCCTCGATCTGATCAACTTTTTTCTCAGTTCAAAGAATATTAGAGTTTCGACAGCCGGCCACAAGAAACGACGAGGACCACCCAAGATTGACCAGAAAATGTCAATCTAGGTAAGATTACGGCCTGCATGTATGTTTTCTGTTTGATTTGGGGTTTCAATTTGGGGATTTGCAACTTTATGGTATGTTTTCCCTCTCTTTACTCTCTGTTTTTTGGCAGGAGAAAGGGCTCAAGATATGGTGCATAACCATGGTTATGCACCCATCAATAACCAAATCTGGACCCTTCATTTAGAAAATCCAGATCTAAGGATGGAGAATTAAAGACTATTTTTATTTTCACTAGCTTTTTTAATTGACTCATATCTTTTTTGTTTTAACTCGGATTTTTTTTTTTTTTGCACAGATGGAACGAGTTCACCGTGCTCTACAAAATGAGATCAATTTTCAATATTTTTTTAGGAAAAAAATTATGACCTCTCGGTACCAACTGCATACCATATGGTATCTTCTTCGTTTTTAATTCGTTTTTGAAAACGTTTGCACAGCAGGGATGAGTTCATCATGATCTACTGGATCTACAAATTTCTGGGTGAACAAATTACAGGACCAAAAAATACCACACAATACCACCCTGGTACGGGGTGGTATTGTATGGTATCTTCTTCATTTTTAATTCGTTTTTGAAAACGTTTGCACAGAAGGGACGAGTTCATCATGATCTATTGGATCTACAAATTTCTGGGTGAACAATTTACAGGACCAAAAAATACCACACAATACCATACAATACCACCTTGGTACGGGGTGGTATTGTGTGGTATACAATGTTAAAAGTCGTAAATTACAATTAATATACTTCTACTATCATGTATTCAACCATCCTAAAGTATTGGTTTGTTCATACCACCATAGTACGTTTTTCAAAACATAAGTATGCTTTTATTTCAATACCAGTCAATACCATATGGTATAGACTGGTAAAAAATGGCTCAATTTTTTTGTTCGAAAAATATATTAAAGTGGATATCATTTTGAAGAGCACAATTAATCTGATCTAACTGTGCAAAAAAAAAATCGACTTAAAATGAGCGAGAAATTGTCCGTCAAAGATTAAAAAGGGAAAAATTAAAGGCTTTCCATGAGAGAGAGGATGCTGCTGTCATACTGATGTGGACGAATTACTCATGGTTACTCACCATAAGGTTACTGACCTGATCCATTGCCGGGAGAAAGAAGTTCTTTTCTGTTCAGAGGAGGAAAGGAGATATGTAGAAGTTTTTTGTTGCACATGGGGAGGAAGAAGGATGAAGAAGAAGAAGAAAGTTCAGCCCCTGCTTGTGTTGAGAAGGAGCAGATCGAGGTAGGGGAAAGGAAGCAGCCTCTTTTTTTATTTAAATTAAATGCGGAAGGGCAGTAAGGTAAAATTGCACTTACACCTATTTTAATATTGACGCTGACTTTTGACCGGACCACATCAGCACCTCCTTCTCTCTCCTCGAAAAAGCTTTAATTTTTCTTCTCTTAATCTTTAACGGACGATTTCTCACTCGTTTTAAGTAGGAATTTAATTTTTTTTGTACAGTTAGATCAGATTAATTGTGCCCTTCAAAATGATATCCACTTTGATATTTTTTGGACATAAAAAAATTTCAGTTATTACCAGTCTATATCATATGGTATTAACTGGTATTAAATAAGACCATACCACATGGTATGATAATATCAATATATATTTCGTTACCACCCAATACCATATGATATAGTGTGGTAATATCAATATATATTTCGTTACCACCCAATACCATATGGTATAGTGTGGTAATATCAATATATATTTTGTTACCACCCAATACCATATGGTATAGTGTTGTAATATCACACAATACCATATGGTATAGAGTGGTAATATCAATATATATTTCGTTACCATGCAATACCATACATTACCATAGGGTATAGTGTGGTAATATCAATATATATTTCGTTACCACCCAATACCATATGGTATAGTGTGGTAATATAAATATATATTTCGTTACCACCCATACCATATGGTATAGTGTGGTAATATTGACTCACTCCTACTGTCACTCTAGAAAATGGCCAAGTGTAACCACTTCCTAAAGCGTAGTATAGCGGGTTTGGGTTTTATTGTCAACCCGGGTCCTAGATGTGATGACTACTCAGTGAATTCGTATTATCTAGCAATGAAACTTTAGTGAAGATCTAAACTAACAAGCAAGCAAAGCAACTAAACGGTTGTTTTCAGGTTAAGAGAGGTCACCCGGATATGGTGCCCCCTAGACTGCAGTTAAGCCGGATTGTAATTTACCAAGTTCAGTTTTTACGAAAGTTATACTGCGGAAGGTTCTTAAATAGCCTGAAGTCTCGACTAAAGGTCTTCAGACCCTCTCAATCTGAGTCTCTAGTGGGCGACTAACCTCCACTGGAGTAAACAGATTGAGGCCCTAACGAGCCAAACCTCCACTACCGAATTGAATTCGGGACAGAATAGCGAATTGGCTCCTCGACTAAAGTCACCAATTCGCTACTTTCAATTAAGGATGCTCTATCAACCTAGGCAGATATTCTCATTCTAGGTTAAAGCAGAAACAACAGGAATTTGATCAGGATTCATGCCATTCAATCATTCAAACCTCAATCGAATATAATCAATTCACAAACTCTGTACTTGGGTTCATACAATCAGACCTAGCATACAAATCTAGGGTTCCCCATACCCAAATGAATGGGGGAACTACTCCATAGAGAAAGAAGCAAAAGCAGATTCGGACGCGGAAATCATACTGTGAAGACGGATTTCTGCTCCTGGACGTTTAATCGGCACTTCTCCAAGCTCAAGTCGGGCTCCAATGGTGATGAAGATCAAGCTATGGCACTTGGGAACTCTGGTTCGTCGCTTTCTCTCTCTAGGAATCGCTTTCTCTCTCAAAAACTCGGAACCCCTGAATGTTAGCCTTCCTTTCCCTTAAATCTGCTGCCTGGTCGCGATACCCGGTCGAAATACCCGGTCGGGTATTTTGGGTCTCGACCGGGTATATTCAAAACGCGCGTTTCATGCCAGGGGAAAATCCCCGGTCTCTTCCAATAATCCCCGACCGGGGATTTTTGCCTTTTGCCGGGCCCCCTTCTGTTTCTCACGGGCGCCCAAAATGATAAATACCCGGTCGGGTATTTGGCCACCTGACCGGGTATTTTCCTCCTGCAGCCCACTTCGTCCCAACTTTGCTCCTTTCGACCCAGAACTCGTTTCTCCGCCTCGATTCCAACGCCGGGTCCTGAAATATAACCTAAACACACAACCTAGCGTGAAATCGGCTTAAAACACGAGAATCAACTGTAGACACCTCATTTTTTCCGGGTAAATTATCCAACAAAAAATTCTAACTTAAATCGTGAAATATCGTAAGATAATTAGATTGTGCATTGCGAGTCTAAAATATCAACGATTGTACAGTTTATTCGAATTCGATTTCGGTGGATCTAATAGGATCTATTGGCTTCCAATCTCGGCTTTTGGCGCAACGCAAATATAATAATCATAATGAAGAACTTATTATTAAAACTATTACTTAATTACAATTACAAACATAATACAAATTACAAATAAGAATTACTACACTAAAATTACAATCAATACATGTTTCTTCCATCTCTTTTGAAGCCAATCATGGACCTGCAACAAAGGGAAACAGGGTCAGTTCAAGTCCATATCAAGCCTAAAGTCCAAGTTCAAGCACAAGCTACAAGACTAGAGCCCACATGTGAGCCAACCAAAAGTAGAGCCAGCCCACAAGGATCAGTCAAGGCTCGGTCAAGGCCCAATTCAAGGCAAGCGCACATGGTTGGAAACGACCCAGCCAGCTAAAGAACGACCAATCCAACCGACCGGTCGAACCAAAGCTGGTCCGACCAAACCCAGAAACCACCGCCTCTTTTTTCTTTAAAAGCAGGCTCAATTCCCAAGAGAAGGGGACAGCTTTTCATAGGGGAAAAAAACACTTGGGGAAACACTGTCAATTCTTTCTTTCAGTCATTTTAGAGATTTTGTTCTTCTTCTTAGTTAGTTTAGAGAGAGGGGAAGTGCTGGGAAAATAAAAGAGAAACGCAAACACTTTTTTTTCTTTCTTCATTCTGTCAAATAGAAAGCCTCTAGCCAAACAGAAGAGGTTTGTATTGAGCAAAACCAGATTCATATTCCAGTTATAATAATATGCTATTGATTTATTCTCTTCTCTTCTCTACTACTCTTCTTTTTTTGTCAATATCATTCTACTATTGTCATTATTAGCATCTCTTTCTTTTATCTTTCTTCACAATACTTTTAAAAATCAATCAACTCTATAACTGTACATTGACCAAACTGATTTAAAAGAGAAATCTTACCTATTTTATTTTATCAGCTCTTCAGTTTCAGTTTCATTTTCGGTCCCATTATTTACTTATTTTTAACATGATTAATATACTATCCACTAACAGCAGCTAACTACTTGAGTAACGACTCTAGTTTACATATTATTTTGCTAGTTAACATCTGCTCATGGTCTTATATTCAATTTTCTACTACGCTATTTACTATTGCTATTCCTTTATTTATGTCATATATTTCAACTCCTACATGATACCATCATTCGATTGAAATAAAAAGTGGTATTCTCCAAATAATCCCAACCCTCTGAGCTCCCAGACCATTCATTCACCACAAAATCACACCAAATAAAACTCAAACACAAGATTCAGAAAATCTACAACAGAATCGTTTTTTTAGCTTAATCTCTCTAGCCACAGACCCCATTTAAAAAAACCTACCTCGATCTGTTCCCTTTCAAAACCCTGCACAAATTAAATCAAGTAGATCAGAAACCCAAAACTAAGAGATAATCAAAGTACAAAAAATAAAAAATCCTCACCTGGTCTGTGAGTCGCCGTCGCCGTAGCACCCTCTGCTACCGTCTTCCCGGTCTAAGTTTCCCCTAGATCCGACCCTCAAAACCCAGAAAAAAGCAGAAAGGGTGAGAACCCGAACTCCCCCAAAATCGGAATAAAAAACCGAGAAAACAAACATGCATGTCATAGAGGTTTACCCGATTTTTGATTTCTTCATTATCGTTACCATTTAAACGAGAAAACAAACGGATTGAGAGTAGAGGTGCAGGGCGGCCATGGATTTGGAGTTGGGTTCATTTTTCCTCTAACGATTAGAGTGGGTTCCGGATACGAACATGAGAGAAGGCGAGAGAAAGAGAGAGGCGAGGAATGGCGGCGGTTTTAAGAGAGTGAGGTTTTCGCTCTCTGGAGAAGAAAGGAGAAATGAAACAGAGAGAGAGAGTAGAAAAAAACGAGAGGGCGAGGTAGAGAGGGAGAGGGGAGCGGCCGTTCGCCCAGCTGTTAGGTTAGATTAGGGTTTTCATCAGTTAAAGCTCACTTATATACCTCTGGCCTCAACCTAAATGACGGATCTACCCCTCCATGCCTTAAATCGTAAAAAATGAACGTTTTTGGTTTCGAACCAACGACCTTCACGTCATTCCTCGCCACTACTCGCCAAAACAAACCACTGAGCTACATCACAATTCTTGAACCATTTAGGCCCCTCGTCTAGTTTTATTCCTTATCATGCTTAATATGTAATTAATTAAACGTATTAGAAATTTTGATCTAGTTAGATTGTCATTATTTTCATACATCAAAATCTTCTAAATATCTTTTTCACTACGTCATTATGCATTTATATATTTTTTTTTCCTAAAGATCCAATAAAATGAAATCAGGGTTAATAGTGCATAATAATTTTTTATGGTGGAATCTTTTCATAATCATTAATCAATTGATTCCAACTAACCATAACTTCTCATTTTTCGAGATATATGTCAATAGACGTAAAATCTCATCGTGTACCAATAGTATACGAAATTCAAATTATCTTAACTAGTCCAATAGGACTTTAAGTTAAATCATAAACAATTTAAACACCCAACCCTTGGAAACTTATCGATTCAGGTAGTACCGATTTAGGGCGTTGTGGGGCGTGAATACACTTCCCCACACGTAACCATACTCCCGAACCCAAATCGCTATAATTTCGCAGGCCAAATCCCGGTTTTGACCCTATGGTCGAGACCGATCCAATTAGTGTTCGACCCACTACTTTTAAGGTCGATGGCGGCTCCGAGCAAATTCGCGAGCGATCCCACTACTTTTAAGGTCGATGGTCAGGAAAATTTGATGCGAAAAATGCGCATGCTTATTCTCTCAATCCCTAACGTCTCTTCACCATGAATGCAGCCTTTAAATGCTAGAGTTCACATAGGGGGTGTCACCACTAACTAATCCGGAGGTCTTAGACACAAGTTCAAATGACTGGCTAGGGTCTGGGACATGGGGAAAAGGCCTTTTAGGTGGTGGTAGTTATAGCACAAGGTTCCACATTTCCAAACCCAACAAAACCACAGTCAAACAAACCAGTAACTTTCATTCTGCTATTCTGCATTACCCAACTTCTTTAGGCACAAGAGCGAAGGAGGTTATATAAATGTTAGCATTTCCTAGCAAGACTGCTAAGAAACACTACCTAATGGGCACTATTCAGAATTTTGGTGGTGGCTCTCTTTTGCTTTCATCATTTTTTCTTCTTTATTTTCTTTAAGAAAACCACCACCTCTGCACATTTTTCAAACACACGCCCAACTTTTAAACACTACCTCCAACCCTCACATTACATTTCGCAGAAACAGCAGAAAACACGTAAAAAAAACACATTGTGGAACCTTTTTAAAAGATGCAAAGGGTGATTTTTCATTGAAGACCGAAAGAAAGGATAACACACGGCTCAAAGGGCTGACTAGGGGATATGACACATCAGGACAGTCAGTTTGGTCGTGGGCTAATCCTATGCCTCCATCATCTTAGCTAGTGACAACGTGAATGCTACATTTCATGGAAGAGGAATCTATCGCACAAGAAAGAAACGAGCAGGCTCAAATCTCACATGGCTACCTATATGCTCTATCTCACATTCTGATTCCCTGAACTAGATGCATAAATGACTGTCAAAAGCAAGTGATCAAATGCAAGTCGCAGTTGGTAAGCAAACAGTTGAAAACTGAACCCCTACACAACTCTACTACACATCTCAGTCATCGTAATAGGCTATCTTAGTCACACTCAAGTTGTCATGCATCGAGTCAACAGCCATTCAATTCTCTAATCACATCCACAGTGCCAATACGATCAATCATCAAGCAAACAGCAGTGCTTGGAGCCCTCAAATCTCGAGATTTGGACAGTGGACTAGGCTCCAAGCACCCAAACAGATCTAATGCAGTCAAAAGATAAACATCCCCCCCCACACTTAAGATCGACATTGCCCACAATGGAGAAGAGGGAAGGAAAGGGGAACGATGTTACCGGTGGGCACAGACTGCAGGAGACTGGAAATGGACCAGTCAGGAAGAAACAGACTGGAGAGAGGACCAGTCGGGAACACAGGCACAGCTAAAGGGAACCAAAGAGCTCAAACACAATACGTTAGGTCCAATGGTCAGCCCAATAGGACATCATCCAAGACAAAAGAAAACAAACCAAAGCAAAAGCTATTGGCAATCCGACCCAAAACAAAAGAAATAAATATAAACCGTGGTGGGGTTGCCTCCCCACAAGCGCTTCTTTATCGTCTTGTAGCTGGACGCCCATGGTGGATAATCAGCATGGTGCATGAACAGGTGCCTCCAAGAGCGGATCCACATCGCTCTTGAGGTACAGCTTCAGGTGGTGACCGTGCACCCTACGGGCGCAACCACCAGCATTGGTTAGCTCGACCTGGCCATCAGGCAGAATGCAGGCAACTGAGTACTCGGGTGGCCAGGGTGGTCGTGGTGCAGGTGGTGGAACCAGCTCATAGTGGTCTCCACCTTTCTTCCGTGCAGGCTTGGTAACCGGCTGCTTCAGGCGCCACTCCTCCTTGATCTTTTTGTTCGGAGACGAGGCTGGATGGAGTGGCGGCGAAGGAGTGAGAGGAGGGTCCTGCAAAATGGGAGATGCAGACGGATACACGACAAACTCGTGTACCGGGTCAGAAATAGCATGCACAGGTGTGACAGCAATCATAGCACAGTGATCGAATTCAGTCACAGCAAAGGTAGCCTGTTCATTTCCAGCACGCAGTATCAGTTTACCATCATGCACATCAATAAGTGCCTTGGCGGTGGCAAGAAATGGTCTCCCTAAAATCAAAGGCACATCCACATCATCATTTATATCCAGAATAACAAAATCAACAAGATATGTGAATGCACCGACTTTAACAAGCAGATCCTCTATGATACCCCTAGGATGCACAACGGAACAGTCAGCTAGCTGAATGCTCCTCCTAGTAGGGCTAAGTTCACCTAGGTCTAGCTTTTTGAACAATTTGTATGGCATGACATTAATGCTAGCGCCTAGGTCCGCCAAGGACTTTCCTATATGCATGCTGCCAATAGTAAGAGGGATAGTAAAACTCCCTGGGTCCTTGCGCTTTTCGGGCAGCTTGTTCTGCAGGACAGCAGAACATTCCTCGCTCAGCAGCACTGTCGAGAGATCCCCAAGTTTCTTCTTGTTGGCGAGGAGATCTTTCATGAACTTTGCGTACTTGGGCATCTTCGACAGTGCCTCCACAAATGGTACGCTGATGTTGAGCTACTTCAACATTGCCATAAATTTGGCAAACTCAGTCTCCAGCTTGTCTTTGTGTAGGCGAGTGGGGAAGGGAAGCTGGGGTACATGCTCCTTAACCACTGATTGTGGCTTGGGAGCAGGGGCTTCCTTCTCCACCCGCACTTCTGCATCATCGGCTGGAAGTGCTGAAGCAGGTAGTGGTTCCTCCTGCCTGGTCGGGGCAGGATCAGCCGATGTGGGCCTGCCACTCCTGGTGAAGATGGCATCCAGCTGCTCGTGCGGCTCCCGTGGATTAGGGATGGTGGTGCCAGGTAGAGTCCCTGGGACCCGGGCAGTAAGTTGGCGCGCTAGGGCACCGACTTGGTGCTGTAGATCTTGCAGAATAGCACCCTGGTTCCTCTGACCTGCCTCCAGAGAGGCTATGCTCTGGTCCACCCTCGTGAAATTCGCCTGGCTAGTGGTCATGAATGCCGCCAAAATATTCTTCAGATCGGTCATCTGGTTATCGGGAGCTGGGGCTGCTGCTGGCTCGACATACTATCGCTGGGGCTGCTGGAATGGCTACCCCTGCCTAGGCTGGTAGGGCTGCTGCTGTGGTGGTGGCCCCTGCCTAGCCTGGAAGGGCTGCCTCTGCTGAAAACCACCCGCTGGTGCTGGGAAACCAGGGGGTTTGGTGTTGTTGCTGCTCCAGGAGAAGTTGGGATGCTGGCGCCATCCTTCATTGTAGGTGTTGCTGTATGGGTCCAGGCGCCGAGCATTTGCGATGAAGTCCACCTGTTCTTGGGGAGTAGAGGACTCCCTCATAGCCTGACAGTCCTCCACCCGGTGATTCGGGCTCTCACACCACTGACACTGAGCTACTGGAGGCGTAGCTGTACCTCGGCCCGGAAGGAGACTGTTGGGCTGCTTCAAGGTCTGCACCAACTCAGCCACTTGCTGCTCTAAACCGGACCTGGCCTTCATAGCGTGCACACCCCGGTCCCGGGAATTTCTGCCTCTGCTTCTCTGCCCCCAGGAATGATCTCGGGCAGCCAAGGTACTGATCATCTGGTTCAGCTTGGGTGGAGTCTTAGGGAGAATATCCCCTCCTGGGCATAAAGACTCGATCACCCTCTGGCTGTCTGGAGTGAGGGCACTGTAGAAGTTACCCACTGTGAATGCATCACTGAAGCCATGATGGGGACACTGCCAGAAATATCCCATGTACCGCTCCCATGCATCACGAAGTGACTCATCTGGCTCTTGGCGGAAGTGAGTGATCTCCCGCTGAATCTCCGTGGTCTTCGATGCCGGATAGTACCTGTGCACGAACTTGTCTGCCAGATCGTCCCAAGAAGTGATGGATAATGGGGGCTGGGTCTCCAACCACCTCTTAGCATTCCCCGCTAGAGAATGGGGGAAGAGGTGAAGGCGGATTGCGTCATCCGGGACACAGTTCAGCTTAAACCCGTTCGTCAACTGCAGAAAACGGGAAAGATGTACCCGGGCTTCCTCATCCTTCAAGCCATGGAACTGGATAGAGGATGTAATGAGTTGAATCCAGCATGGCTTGATCTCGAAGTTGTTTGCAGGAATGGGCGGGTAGAGGATGACCTGCCGGATGTCAGCAATCCATGGAGTATAGTAGTACTCCAAGGTGGGGCCCGGTGGTGGTGGATGATGATGGACCCCAGCTCGTGGGGATTGGGGTCGTTCCCTAGGATCTGGTTCCCAGGAGGTGGGTTGTGGTCGCC